AAAAATTGTCATCTAATTAAAGAGCTTCTACACAACAAAAGAAACTATTAACCAAGTAAACAGACAACCTGCAATATAAAATTAAATATTTGTAAACTGCATATAAAAAGGATTAATATACAGAATTTATGAGAAAATAAAAAGGATACAAATGAAATAGGAACTTTCAAAAGAAGATGCAAGAGCTGTCAAGAAACATGCAAAAAATTGCTCAACATTTATAATCGTCAGAGTGATGTAAATCGAAATGGCAATGTGATACTATTATACACAGAATTGCTGTTATTAAAAAAGTGAAAAAAATAATGTTGAAGTTTTGAAGGAAAGAACATTTTTATACACTGTTGGTGAGAATATGGAAAGCAATTTGGAGATTTCTCAAATAACTAAAAATCAAATTGCCGTTTGACTCATCAGTATCTTCAGCCTGTATATACCCAAAGGAGAATAAATCATTTTCCCAAAAAGACACTTAACCAACACATGTTTCTTGCAGCACTATTCATAAAAGCAAAGGTATAGAATTAAACTAGATACTTAGGAATCTTAGCTTGAATAAGAATAATTAGGTACTTATATACCGTGAATTACTATGCAGCCAGAGAAAATAATAAATAATTATGTTTGCAGCAACATGTATACAGCAGAAGGCCATTATCCTAAGCAAATATGACATGTGGGAGCTGTCACTTATATGTGTGGGAGCTGAACATTGGTTGCAGATGGAAACAAGAAAAGAATAAGCACTGGGACTTTTAAAGAGATGAAAAAAAAAAGAGACAAGTATTGAGACACTTTTAGACATGATGGATACTATGTGGGCAATGTCATTAGTAAGCGCCAAAACCTCAACATGCAATATACCTATGTTACAAATCTGCTCATGTACCTTCTGAATTTGAAATAAAAATAGTAAAATGCTTTCTGGTATAATGACATGTTGCATTTCTTCAGTTCTGGGCCAATAGTTGTAATTAGCGGTGAAAGAATTACTCACTCTTTGACCATAGAAATGAATGTTTACCAGTTTTCTTTGAACTCTATAAGCTACTGTCTCTAAAAGCTCTTGACCTATAGCCCAAGAAGTGTTTTATTCCTAAGTGTGCAGCTAAAATAAATGACTCTACATTTTTATTTTTCATGTATCTGTACAGTAGACTATAGAGTTAATTTGTAACTCTACTCCTTTTGGAGAAAAATGGTATGTTGTTTAATCACTTCTTTTTAAGAATGAACTATTTTTGAAAATGTTAGTCTATGAAAATTATGCTAAGTTGTTGAATTAGGAAAAGGAAACATTTTGTAAAAATGCATAGGAGTCTTATAGGAATAGCCCAAAAATGATTAAACAGACCGAGTTACTCAAGACCACACTGCTGCAAATGCTCACTCCATCACAATTATTCTAATGAAAAAATGAATAATGGATTAGAGATATTTTTAGACTACTTTTCTGATTTAATTGCAGTGTTAGATTTTATTATTATTTTTTATTATTTACCATATAGAAGTCTCTACTTTAACAAAAGATTTTGTGAATTTCAAGTAATATGCTCAGACTTTCATTTTGTAAAGCACTGTATTAAGCAACTCTGTGAAATACAAAAATAATACATGAAGTGGATATTTTCTTCAAGGACCTTTTAAAATATAAGTTAATTTTCTTGTGTTTAATACTGAAAAGATCTGAAAATCAAGTTTAGAAGGCAAGCTGAATTACCATTTGGCAGAAGAGATGGATATTGCGTAGTAATATCAGACTGAATGTAATCAGAGCTATTATCAAAGTCTAACCCTTGGGAGCACAGTGTGAGGTTAATTACAAATGTGAACATGAGTCACATGTTCCTGAGCATCTACTATGTGCAAGCATTCTTCTAGAGGTATTAGGGGTTGGGTGAGAGAGTGAAGCAAATATGAGAGGTGGTTCTTGTTCTGGAGGAGATAGATGGGCATGCACTCAAAATACAAAGCATCTCCTGACAGTTCAGTAAGAGAGGTTCAGACAATATTATGGATTTTGGGAGATGAATCCATTTATTCTATTTAGGGCTCTGAGAAGACATCATAAAGTAGACAGCATTTCAATTGGGTCTAAAGGTAAGATAGGATTTCTTTTTTTTATTTTTTTTAAACTTTTATTTTAGGTTAAGGGGTACACATGCAGCTTTGTTATACAGGTAAATTGTGTCTCACAGGGGTTTGGTGTAGAGACTATTTCATCACCCAGGTAATACACATAATACCTGACAAGCAGTTTTTTGATCCTCTCCCTCCTCCCGCCCTTCACCCTCAAGTAGTCCCCAATGGCGATTTTCTCTTCTCTGTGTCCATATGTACTCAACGTTTAGCTCCCGTTTACAAGGAAGAACACAGATATTTGGTGTTCTGTTCCTGCCTCAGTTGGCTAAGGATAATGACCTCCAGCTCCATCCACGTTGCAGCAGACATGATTTCACTCTTTTTTATGGCTGCATAGTAATCCATGGTGTATATGTACCACATTTATTTATCCAGTCTACTGTCGATGGGTATTTAGGTTGATTCCATGTCTCTGTTACCATGAGTAGTGCTACAGTGAACATATGCGTGCATGTGTCTTCACGATAGGACAATTTAAAAAAATTTTTTATTTCAGTAGGTTTTTGGAGAATAGGTGGAAACTTACATGAATAAGTTCTTAACAGTGATTTCTGAGATTATGATGCACTCAGCACCTGAGCAGTGTGCACTGTGCCCAAGTGTAGTCTTTTATCCCTTGCCACCCCCCACCCTTTCCCCACAGGTCCCCAAAGTCCAAGGTATCATTCTTACTCCTTAGCATCCTGATACTTAGCTCCCACATACGAATGAGAACATACAAGGTTTGGTTTTCCCACTCCTGGGTTATTTTACTTAGAATAATATTCTCCAATTCCATCCAGGTTGCTGCAAATGCCATTACTTCCTACCTTTTTATGGCTGAGTAGTAATCCATGGTATTATATATACCACATTTGCTTTACCCATTTGTTGATTGTCAGACATTGGGGCCGGCTCTATATTTTTACAATTGCAAGTTGTGCTGCTATAGACATGCATTTCCAAGTATCTTTTTCATAGAATGACTTCTACTCTGGGTAGATAACCTAGTAGTGGGATTGCTGGATCAAACAGCAGATCTATTTTTAGTTCTTTAAGGAATCTCTACACTGTTTCCCATAATGGTTGTACTAGTTTCTATTCCCACCAACAGTGTAGAAATGTTCCCGTTTCACCGCATCCACAAAAACATCTATTATTTTGTGATTTTTTTTTTATTATGGTCATTCTTTACTCTGTCACCCAGGCTGGAGTGCAATGGCGCGATCTTGGCTCACTGCAACCTTCGCCTCCCAGGTTCAAGCAATTCTCCTGCCTCAGTCTCCTGAGTAGCTGGGATTACAGGCACATGCCACCGTGCCCAGCTAATTTTTTTTGTATTTTTAGTAGAGATGGGGTTTCAACATTTTGGCCAGGCTGGTCTCAAACTCCTGACCTTGCGATCCACCCGCCTCAGCCTCCCAAAGTGCTGGGATTACAGGCATGAGCCACCGCGCCCGGCTGATTATGGTCATTCTTGCAGGAGTGAGGTGGTACTGCATTGCAGTTTTGATTTGCATTTCCCGATAATTAGTGATGTTGAGCATCTTCCACATGCTTGCTGGCCATTTGGATATCTTCTCCTGAGACTTGTCTATTCATGTCCTTAGCCCACTTTTTGATAGAATTGTTTGTTTTCTTGCTGACTTGAGTTCTTTGTAGATTCTGGGTATTAGTCCTTTGTCAGACGTACAGATTGTGAAGATTTCCTCCCACTCTGTGGATTGTCTGTTAACTCTGCTGATTATTTCCTTTGTTGTGCACACCACCATGCCAGGCTAATAATTTTTTACTTTTATTTTTTGTAGAGACAGGATTTCACTATGTTGCCCAGGCTGTTGATGAATAGTTCTAGTTAAGAGCTACTTATTAAAACCTGAGATTTTATCATATTTTCATTCAAACCTGAGATACAATGATTCTATGATTTCATATGATAAGGAACTCCCCTGAGGCAGGCTAGGCAGCTATTTGATTTCTCAATTTTCATTCAGGGAAACTGAGTCTCAGCAATTCAGTGACCTTCTCTGGTTTTGCCCATGCCCTAAGCCTGCAGTATTTCTCATATTAGATGATCGAGTCACTTTGGTGGTGGCCTGGATATGACCTATCTGGCAAGGTATTTCCTGTTAGTCACTACTCAGAGAACTCTTTTCTGTCAGAGGGCTGCCGAGGACATCCACAGGGCCTGGTACGTGTGGGCTTCCCCTCCAGGTCCTGTGGACCCTGCCTGTACTGCCCTATTCTGGTAGGGCTGGAATCAACCTGGAGTGCCTTCTAGCACAGCATGGGACTCCCTCATCCTCTGGGGCTGGCCCGGCTGGCCCCATGCCCCAGAGAAAAGGAAGCTGGCAGAAACAGTCCACTAATGCCCAAAATCCAGAAGTAGGAGGCTGAAACTAAATAACCTTCACTTTCAGAACAGTGACTGAAAATGAAACTTCAGAATGAGGATGGAGCCCTTGAAATTCATGGGACGATCTTCCTAGTCCATCAAAGGACCTGCCCATTTGTCTTAACTTTCAACTGGGAAATACATTGTACATATGAAACAAGGGTGTGTGTGTGTCTAAAATATGTACCACTTGAAGCCCTAAGTAAAAGAAAAAGAATACATATGCACAGAATTCACAATCCAAGAAACAATATAACCAGAACTGTTCACATTCTCGCTGTCCTGCCCCTCCCCGACCAAGGATAATCACCTCCCTGATTCAGGGATTAAGCATTTCCTTTTGTCCTCAGAGTCTTATTACACGTGTGCATCCCTAAGCAGTACACTGTTCAGTTCTGCTTGTTTTTCAACTTCGTATCATTGGAATCACACCACATGTGTGCTCTGTCTCGCTTTTCTTGCAGTACATGGTGAGATTTATCCTTCATTCATGCAGACAGCTGGAGTTCATTTTCACACGCAGTTGTCTTGGAGGGAACAAGTGACAGGTGCTGTAGATATCGTTGGAGAACTGCAGCTGGAGCTCAGGGCTGCCTGTCAGGAGCTGAGCCACCTGTTCCACCTGAAATGGCATCTTCTCCAGGATCACAACGGCATCCTCTCCAGCGCCATCCCCAGAGGTTTCAATCACCTTTCCGTGTAGGAAAATGATTTTGTCCCGCGCAGACTCCCTCAGCACTTTCTGCAGTCTGAAGCCGGAGAACGGTAAGCGGACAGGAGCACAGGTACCACTTCCAACGTCTGCCTTCTTTCCCTCTGTGCTGGCGGCCTGCGCCTCCTCCGAGTCCAGCTCGCGCTTTCTCTTGCTGGGTAGAGGCTCTGCGTCCGCCATGCTGCCCGGGAGGCGGTGTGTGAGATGGGATTTCTAAACATAAAGAAATAAGGGAAGGATTAATATCAATCTCGATTCCAACATTTTAATATTTGTATTTGGGTAAATCTGCTTACTACATACGAATATCAAAGAAACACTGGAGGGGTAACACGTGGAGTGGTGGTTGTTGGGAGCCGTCTCGCTTACTCTGTCTGTGAAAGCAACACTGGAGGCTGTTATCCTGAGCAAACTAACACAGGAACAGAAAACCAAATACCACATGTAATGGTGAGAACCAATGCACACATAGAGGAGAACAACGCACCCTGGAGAATGCGAGGATGGAGACGATCAGGATAAATAACCAGTGAGTACTAGGCTTAATGCCTGGGTGATGCAATAATCTGTACAACAAACCCCCATGACACATGTTTGCCTGTGTAACAAACCTGCACCTGTACCTCTGAAATTTAAAATAAAAGTTTAAAAGAAGAAAAAAAAAAGGAAAGTAATACTCATGCAGCACGATGGTTGTTTTATGCTGTCGCTTTTGTGCTTGTCCTTTGTCTGCTTAGCAGGATCAGTGGACTCTCCGCAGTACTCATCAAATGACTCACTCTCCCTAAAGGCCAAGGCCCAGGGAAACTGACCCACTTTTTACACAGGGAAACTCTAGGGAACATCACCCAGTGTAGAAGAAAAGCTGAACCTGTGTGTGGGGACAGCAGCAGCAGTCGAAAAGACCCCATGGATATGCAGGGATCAGATCGAACAATTTGAAACTCCAATGAACTTTTGCTATCCACTTTGCTGTCCCTTAGACTAGCAACATGAAAATGTCCTAATCATGACAGACACATCCCCCAGGAACTTATTCATCTCGAGTTATATGTGCATTTTACAGCAAGACATAACTCTACCCTTTTCTTTCCCACTCAAAAAGGTATAGCAAAATTGAGTAACAATGGGAATTAGAGGACCTCTCTCCTCCTCCTCCTGTATTGACATCTACGTACATGCAGTTTGTGAACATTGAGTACTTTTATACAATTATTAGAAACATATTGTTTGCAAAATACTTCACAACTTTTAAGACACATTTGAATATTTCAAAAATATATTGACACAATTGGAAGGAGACTAAGCCAGTTATTGGTCCATCCTCCCGCCTTCAAGAAGGCTCTAAGAAGATTGATACAGGCATCTGCTCTTAAGATTTTCTCAAAATAAAATCCAGCTGAATTCATCTGGAAACAGTTCATTTGTTTGCAGACTCACTTTATTCAAGTTGAACACTAAAAGAAAGTTTTGTTAAGGAAATGCTTCTCTATTAAGCCTCATTTCCAGGATGTTAAAAATTATGCATTAGTAAGTTTGAACCTGGTTAAATATAAGTTGATTTTCATTCACTGAAAATTAGAAGTTTTAATCATTATGCATCTAATGTGCAATATTATAAAAAGTAGCAAGTGTATAATTCCGCCTATTTCTAAAATCTACCTAATTAGGATATTTATTCAATACAGAAATAATCTCTTGTTAAAGGTGCAGCTAATACATAAATAAAAAGGTAACAGTAAAACATGTGCTAGGCAGTCTACGTTTTTGATCCCCTGACAGAAAATGAATAAATAGGGAAAAATTACCACTCATTCATGAGAGTTTAGTGAAAAAGAACTAAGTTCCCACACACGTTATCCATCAGGCTGGGAACATTGGCAATTTCCCAATTTCATGCAGAATAGCATGGTTCAAGTCACATCTGAAACATAGGTCATTTTTTTCTCCTTCAGTCAAAACAGTAAAGCTGTAACTGTTCTAGAAGTATTCATTTTTCTTAATGTTAATTTAATGAGTTTTTTTTTACTCCACCCCTGAATGTACATGATTCAGGGTTATGCTGTCTTGAAAAATAAATCTGTTCCATTCAGTGTGACATGGGAACTACAGTTAATTGATGTTTATTGCAAAGCAAAATAATTTGTAGTGTCTAATAAGCATTCGCAGTTTAGAGCCTGTTCACAACAGCTTCCTGAAATAACAGACTCGTGGGGTATATAAGTCTGTTTATAAAGGCTATTAAAAACATTGCATTTACTTAGCCATGGAATCTAATTCAGCTACAGACAGGATGAGGAATCAAGTGCCAGCAAATGCTGCTATGGCTAAGTCTGGTAAAGGCTAATTGAAAGGCTGCAGTGGATAAGAAGGCTGAAATACAGCCCAGATTTTAGACGAAGGCAGGCTTCCAGTTTCTGAGTGTTCACTTCTGTTTCTGCAAGCCGCATTACTGTGTTGGCCAAAAGAGGCGTATGAAGTTTCAACTACTCTTTAAGCTGCACATTTTTAACTTGCACGTGAAAACACGTTTTACCATTTGTGACGTCAGCTTGCATCACAGGCCTGGTCTCAAAACTCTCTTCTGGCACTTCCTTACATTGGTTTGAAATGTTGATGTAAAAGGTCAGATTAACAAAACTACAAGATATACTAAAGAAAAAAAAGTAATAAATACAGATAAATCACCTTCCCATCAACTTGCAATGTGCTGACATGATTTTGGACAGATACTTAGCACATCTAAACCATAGGCTAAAGCCGCCAGTGTTTGTCTGAATTTTTGGAGGATTCTATTCTACAAATCCTCTGAACTCTGATCCCAAACCCCATTCCTCATCTTCTCCTGAAGGCCTGCCCTTCTTCTGTGTTTCCTGCCTCAGTGCCGATGTCCTCTCCCCAGCTGCTCCAATCGGAAACATCAGAAACTTCAGTGACTTCTTTCTCTCCCTAACCTTCTCATGGAACTCAGTCACCAAACTGTGCTGCCGTGGCCTGGCTTCCCTTCATAGCCGTGTCTTCCGAGCCAGCTCCCTGTCCCTATTCTCACTACTCTTGCCCAGAGATTGGGATTTTCTATTGCCCTCTGGTCTCTCTTACCTACCATCCTTATCAGTGCCACCTGTAGGAGCCACCAGGCCACTGTGGGGCACACAGTGCTCAGCCCATCTCCTCAACTCCCAGGATTTAGCCAGGCAAGAGTCCTTACTTTATCTGGGGGAAAAAAAATGGCTATACTCCTAAAAAACAGGGTAAAAATCTCCTGCCCTACCTTGCTAACAGTAACCCTCTCTTATGGTAGCCAAACATAGATCCGATCTTGTCACTCCTTTTTCACAAAGGATTTGAAGGTTTCTAATTACAGATAAAAGTCACTCTTGGCCGGGTGTGGTGGCTTATGTCTGGAATCCCAGCACTTTTGCAGGCCAAGGCAGGGAGATCACCTGAGGTCAGGAGTTCAAGACCAGCCTGGCCAACATGGTGAAACCCTGTCTCTACTAAAAATACAAAATTAGCAGGGCATGGTGGCTCTTGCCTATACTCCCAGCTACTCAGGAGGCTGAGACAGGAGAATCACCTGAACTTGGAGATGGAGGTTGCAGCAAGCAGAGATCGCACCATTGCAATCCAACTTGGGTAGCAAGGGTGAAACTCCGTCTCAAAACAAAAGAAAAAAAGAAAAGAAAAACAGTCACTTTCCTCAGACTAGCACCTTCTAGATTTCCCAGATTTCGACTCTCTGCTTTTGCCGTCTTTACAGCCAGAATGCCACAGTCTTATCTGTCAAGGAATAGTTTGACTTGCATGTTCTTCATGAAGTTTTCTGGTGGCCCCCTGAGTCCAATTCCCCCTCCCTTTTTCCCTATCTTCTCATCAGTTGCATTTCATCTCACTATGGAATGATTTACTTGAAAGATGTAAAGCCCATAGATGGTCTCGGTCCTGTCTTACACACTCTGCAACCCCACCTTGCTACTGCAATGCCTTGCACCTAGAATACACTCAGTAAATACGTGTTGAATTTAACTGGATGGTCACTATCAAACTCTGGGTTAATTTACTACTCCTATCACCAAAAAGTTACTAATCCTTTCAATTACTTATCATAGCTACATTTTAAACCTGCAAATTAAATTGCTTTAATTTAAAACAGATGCCATGTTTCTGACATTGGTACAAGAAAAATAAGCATTGATGGAGAAGATCTTGGTTCCCTAGAAATTGTAGGTGTAACCACATGACTCAAATGGGCACAATAATCCTTCATTTTATTCTACTAGAGCTAAAAAAAGGAAGAGAAAGAGATGACTCATTGTTTCATGGCTTTAAAGTTTGTTGTGAAGCTTGAAAAAATTTAAATGCTTATTTTAGTATTTGCTAGAAAATCGGAAAAAAAAATTGTCTTTAAAATTCTAGCAACTTTTCCTCTGTGAAAAATCTAATTGAGATTTTTCATTGCATTCCTATCCCACTTTACAAAGCACCTAATAGCAAAAGGCATTTCAGAAAAACGGAGATAATATTTTTGAGAACCGTCTCCTATTTTAACCTTGGGTCCCATTGTCGTGCTCTATTGCAGAATCTCCTTATTTCTGCATTGACTTCCTAGCTCTTTCCTTCAGATTTACCTGCACTCACATGTGACCATGCCGTTTAGCCTGCTCATGTGATTCAGTGACCACTCATTATGTGGTTAAGCCAATTCAAACACCAGTCATGATATTTATAAGGCCCTCTGCAATATGTCTTCATTCATTCATTCATTTACTCATTCACTAAATCGACATTTATTCCCTAACACTTGTTTTATGTCAAGCACTATTCTAGGCACTGGGGATATCATTTTTATTGAAACACTAATTGTATTTATATAGAAAGGATTAGCCAGGTACTTCCTGGCTGTCTTCTTTGGTTACTGTCTTGCCTAATTCAGCTGGTTCTCTCCTTTGCAAAATGGGAAGACATCTTGCCTGCCCTATTTAGGTCACTGGATTTCTGGAAAACTTGAACATGAGGTAGGACAGTGAGAAACATTTGCAATCTCTAAAAGAATAATCAACCATTAATTCCTTTATAAATTTTTGAGTCATCCTGTGGAGAAATACAGTCAACTAACCTAAGCAGGAGAGAAACTGATTCCAACTGAGGTGGCTGTGGGAAGCTATGAGGATGCAGTGTCCTCTGATGGAGGTATCACTGGAATAACTGGAGTTTGTCCTGCAGCCAGTGGGGAATCTTTCAGAGAAGCCAGAATAACAATGGACTGGCAGCAGGGTGGACAATGGCTTGAAGTTTAGACACTAGAAGCAAAGAGATTAGGAGTTGAGAGAATAATGTGGGCTTAATAAATCCAGAAGGCTGGTGGTAAAGGAAAGAAGAGGTAAGGCTGAAAGAAATATAGGTGAAAGAAACATTGAAGAGGAAGAACATTAGAATCTGGCAACTTGGACACGTGGTGGTTGAGGAGACAGAGTGAGGGACACACATCAGTAAACAATGGTTCCCTAATTAAGATTTACAGTAAGTGAATGGCCTGTAATATCCCTACTGGGAAAGAACAAATTTCTATTCAAACAATATGGGTTTAATTTTGAATGGTGAGACTGAAGTACACATACCTTAGGGTGAGTACTGAATAAAATACTGACATAATGGGAAGTATTATTGGAGCCAAAATGCAGTAAGAGGTTTGAAGAAACAGCATTGCATAAGGACTTCTCAGATTAATGTACATGATTAATGGTACAGAATCCTAAGCTTGGGGAAGAGTTTGAAGGAAGGTTCCGTACAAGATGCTACTCCAATTAAACTGTTATTAATATTGTTATTTTATTATTTATTTTTGCTGCTATAGTTGAAAGGGGAACTGATTTTCTCAGAACGCCCAGTTGATGATAATTTTTTTTGAGTTCTGAAAGTGCAACTCTTTGTATTTAAATTAAATTAATTCATTCTTTATTCCCACTGCTAATACAATGACCTAGATTTCAGGCTGTCAAAATTTGTAAATATAAAATGGTAAGACTTTCTTTTCCATAAGATGTTAGTGCCGAGATTATTAGTAAATGCTGCTATCTAAGGGAGTTCTTTTAATATTCTAGTTTCTAAGCCTCTTTGTAGGCTCTTCCATGGGATTCGTATTTTAAACTTGCTTTTGTAATTTGTATTTCAGTTCTTTTTTTTATTGCATTTTAGGTTTTGGGGTACATGTGAAGAACATGCAAGACTGTTGCATAGGTACACACATGGCAGTGTGATTTGCTGCCTTCCTCCCCTTCACCTATATCTGGCATTTCTCCCCATGTTATCTCTCCCCACCTCCCCACGCCCCCATCCCTCCCCCATTTCCCCCCAACAGACCCCAGCGTGTAGTGCTCCCCTCCCTGTGTCCATGTGTTCTCGTTGTTCAACACCCGTCTATGAGTGAGAACATGCAGTGTTTGATTTTCTGCTCTTGTGTCAGTTTGCTGAGAATGATGGTTTCCAGGATCATCCATGTCCCTACAAAGGACACGAACTCATCGTTTTTGATGGCTGCATAATATTCCATGGTGTGTATGTACCACATTTTCCCTATCCAGTCTATTATCAATGGGCAGTTGGGTTGGTTCCAGGTCTTTGCTATTGTAAACAGTGCTGCAATGAACATTCGTGTGCATGTGTCCTTATAGTAGAATGATTTATAATCCTTTGGATATATACCCAGTAATGGGATTGCATTTCAGTTCTTAAAAACAGCACTACTAATTTAAACAAAATTCATCTCCCTAAAAAATCCATAGAGATTTTTTAAACACTAGGATAAAATATAAATTGAACTGTAGACTTCAAGGTTTTAAGACATCATTTCTTTTATTTATTTAATTAATTTATTTATTTAAAGATGGGGTTTCACCATGATGGCCAGGCTGGTCTTGAACTCCTGACCTCAGGTGATCCACCCACCTCGGCCTCCCAAAGTGCTAGGATTACAGGTGTGACCTGCCACGCCAGGTAAGACATCATTTCTATAGAACTACATATAATTCCTTAACAATTTCTAGACCCTACACTGTCCAATACAACAGCCTAGCCACATGTGGTGACTGAACTTTAAATTAGCTAAAATGGACAAATGCAGTTCAGTTCCTCAGTTACACCAGCCATATTTCAACTGCTCAACAGTCATCTGTGGCTAGTGGCTATTGTACATGATGGAACAGATATAGAATATGTCCATTATCACAGCTATTTCTGTTGCAGAGTGCTGGTTCAGACCATTTTTTACATAAGGGAAAGGATCTGACTCTTGTCTCCTTAGTTCTGTTTGCCTCACAGTTGGTCAAGTATGTATATAGCACATGATCATTGATCTTGCTGAAAATGTGGACCAGCTAGGCCACAGTCAACTTGACAGCTGTTCACAGATATACCCCTATTGTCAAAGTCTTAGAATAGCTCCTGCCCTCCTTGTGACCAGAGTCACACTGGAAGAATGTTTCTTACTTTCCTGTCTCCCTCAAGGGACCATGCTATCTATACCACTCAAATTACCCCATGGATCCTTGAGCATTCAATCTCCCCCAAGGGAATTCAGACCAAAGTAATTAGTCTCATATTAGTTATTATTTGGCCACATTTATTTCATTTTGAATTTTGTAAGAAAAGAAAAAACATATCTTTTAAAAATGTGAGTCTATCATGTCTAAGAAACAAGTCCCCTCTGTTTCCTCTAGCTCAAATGCAGAAATCTTAGGAGAAAAGCGGTGTTGAGACCGAAGTCTGATAGCTGCCAGTGGGCAGGTTTTATTTCTCCCCCAACACATTCAGTAATGTAATTAAACAAATGTTTTGTGAGTATTGCAGATATCTTGCTATTCTGCAATTTGTTGAACACAAAGATGACATTCAACAGATCCAAGCAAAACCTAGGAAGATGGAGCCTTTCAAAATCACTTTGGTTTTGGCTTCAGCTTACAATAACAGTCAATTTAATTTTTGGCTATCATGGAGCATAAAATAATAGCTCATCAGAAGGAAAAAAGCCTGACAGGAAGTCATCTGATTTAATTGGTTGTGGTACTGAGAATTCACCACAAATTTAACCAGTGTTACAGCTATTAAATTTATCTTATAAAGATCAAACATTTCAGAAAGAGATTAAATTTTACAGTGGGCTGAATAATGCACCCTTATGAACAGGAAACTCTGTTTAGTAAACCTGCTAATTGAAGCACTTAATAAATAAAGGGAAACCCCCTACTCTAAATATCTTCTTGGTACTGGAGAATTCTCATTTACTCTTTCAGAGAAATAATCACTTGAAAGGCACATTTTTCTTCTCTTTGTTCTTTCCCATCAATTTTTTTTTCCTTTTTCCTAGGAAAGTTCTTTACAATCCCATCAATTTTAATGGGTACAAAACATCAGTTAACATCAAATGTAATGGGACAAGAAGATGGATGAGTACATTTAAAGCCACTAGTCACAGGACAGAAAACATCCTGATGAGGTGACCATGGCAGCACAGAGTTCAACAATATGGTCTGGGCAATATTTAGTAGGTGAAACTACGTCACTACATGATTTGCTATTAGCACTCAGCAAAATCAATCTCCAGACACAATTTATCACATGTCCACAGGTCAGAATTTCAAAGTCACATTTTCAAAATATGTTCCAATGACACTCTTAATTCCAGAAAATGATTTAAACAAGGAACGAAGTGGATAAAGAGGAGAAGCACAATCTAACCCTAAGGAGCCAGACCTTATCTCATGATTAAAATTAGGAAGAAGAATCTTATTACAGCTTAGGAATTATGTCTACATGTTACAAGATGAATTGGTGTACACAGTGGATGCTGAAGACTGAGATCCCATCTTCAAGATTGAGGCACTTGCTCCCCCAGGGGCGGGGTGCACTGGCTGCTGCAGCTTCTTTCTGCTCTGGAAACTGAATTCAGTCAAAGGGATTGTTTTATTCAAAGCTACGCTCACTCCTCCAGGGATAATGGCATGGCTCTTTTGCCTGGCTCTGGACAACTCCAATGGGCCATTCCAGCTTTAGCGCTCTCTCTGCCTTCAGATCAGCAGAGGTATCTGTTAAGATTGTGTCACAGTTCTATATTTTCCTCTGCCCATGGAGTGAAGCCAATGTACCTGGCCGAGTCCCACTTTTTAATACTAATACTGCATTGATTCCGAATGCATATGCAGCAATATGGGGGGAAAGAAAAAAAAAAGAAAAAAACCTAAAAAATTTAAACTATTGTTTTAAAAGCCTTATACAGGCCAAGCACACCTGTAATCCCACCTACTTAAAAAATTTAATTAAGGAGGGAGGCTGAGGCAGGAGAATGGCTTGAACCTAGCAGGTGGAGATTGAGCCACTGCACTCCAGCCTGGCAACAGAGTGAGACTCGTCTCAAAGCAAACAAAGCCTTACATAGTTCACAACTATCAGCCCACACACTAAGCTAGTATCTGTGTGAGGGCAGGAGGAGCCTTCACTTTGGAGTGGTTTCTAGAACTCTGTTTACATGAAAAGGGACACAAGAGTGTAAGACTGTGTTGTTGCCCTGACAAGGCCCCATTCTTTCCTAGGATGTGCAACCTTAGTTGTCCTTGAGTTAACTGGAATTGAGGTGTTTCTTCTTTTGAAAACACTAGCTTTACTATTTCTTTAGCAGGAGAGGTGGTATCTTCCTGTCTTTTTTGATGAGGGGTGCGGATGTTACATTACCCCTCATTTCTTCCTTCAGGAGAGGATGGCCTTAGCCCGCTGAAGATGAATTAAATCATCAACACTGAAAGACCTCTTCTTACGGGCAGTATGGAAAACTTCATCTCGTTCCATCCTTGAAAAAGCCTAAGAATGTCAAATAGAAAAAAGGTACAATCATAAAAGGGTTCCAACCTTATAACAATCACCACTGATGATAAGCTGCACATGCAGACTCCTTTAGATAGTTCAGCTACAGCTACTGAGGCTCTGAGGTTTACACTGCCAACTTCTGGCATCTCACTAAGATCATCTCCTTTCAGGGCTAGAATTAGATTGCTGGAGCAAAGGGGAGCTTGCTTTATTAAGTTACTTAAAAATTGGGCTCCCAAAAATGTCACAGTACTGTGACAGGCTTCTAACAGTATCATCTGTTACCTATGCACTTGCTCCTTAAACATAATGAACTTTTGCAAAAAGTCGATTTATTAATCTAATCAAATTCTACCCAATCTATAAGTTATTATACACTCAAAGCAAATTTTAACGAGGCAGGCATGTGCTGGATTGTACTGAAATGTAAGCGAAGTCTAATGACTAAAGCATCAAAAGGCACTACTTCACTTGCACTAATTATGGTAGAAAAATGTATTATTTCAAAATACTTCCATGATGCCACAGGACATGTCTATTTTAAATGTTCATCCTTGTCAGCTGTGAGTAATTTTGCTGTGTACTTACCAAAAATCACAAACCATAAATATTAGTTTGTCCCATATGAGTTATCATTTCCAGTAAAATCCCATGTACTTCCTGCAGCCAGTCCTTGAGACACGCACACCTCATACAGTCTAAGTGCAGGTCTCTCGGCTTAGGCACTAATGGTTTGTCTAACAAACCCATGGGACTGACTGCACTGTGGTATACACCGCAGAAAATGACATAAATTTGCAAACCGAGTAATAAAAAGTAGTCAAGAGTGTATTATGTATGTAGACCTCAGTAGAAATACAATGGCAAGAAATCATTTATGTATGATTATTTGCAAGGGCAAAGGTTCAAAAGGTTCAAATTAATTAAGAATGAATGAAATCTTGATTAAAACATTCTATATTATGGTCACAAAAGAGATAATATCTATAATTTTGAAATAATGTGAATCTTTATAAAAACCATAAAAGATACAGGAAATAGAATGCCAAAAGGTTAATAAGCTCTTCAGTATGTTAGTTAATTTTGAAACTTTCCATTTTTCTAACCCAGGGGTCCCCAAACTTTTTACACAGGGGGCCAGTTCACTGTCCCTCAGACAGTGAAGGCCGGACTATGCAAGGTGTGACACCCTTCGCAGCCAGCACTGCTGCCTCCACTATCCCAGACAGCGGTATACAGTGTCACAGGCCCAGCACCGCCTCCGGTGCTGTACACAGGGATGGCAGTGATCAGCCTGTGACACTGTGTATACAGCATCCTGGACATCTGCAGCAGCGGTGGGCCGCTTCTGTGGGAAGCCCACTGCTGCATGTTTCCCCTATTATAAGACACCTCCTAAAAGTAAGACAGCCCCCGTGTTTCAGGGGTAAAATTAATTTAAGACAGGGTCTTATAATAGGGGAAACACAGTGTGTAGTAATGTGGGGGGAGACTTTTGGGCAAAGGGAGGTTATAGGGGCCATTATGTTGTTGTACATTTGGGGAAGTATGGGGGCCACTATACTGTGCAGTAATGGTTATAGTGCTTTGCCTTTCTTCCTACTTCTGCTGTTATTTCACACTGCTTCCGGTGATGTGGGGCTCCGCAGCCGCAGACCGGGTGTGCATCATATGACGCGCTTCCAGAGCCATGGGGCGTGCGTCCGGCATCACCGCAAGTAGTACTGTATGTGAGCGATGCTGCGCTTTGCGGCGCCACCACATACTGTGCTGCTCTCACTGACCACCAATGAAAGAAGTGCCCCTTCCTGACGTGCGGCGGGGGCCGGATAAATGGCCTCAGGGGGCCGCATGCGGCCCGCGGGCCGTAGTTTGGGGACCCCTGTTCTAACCATTACTTAATATGACCTAGTCACAGATGTTGGCATTGGTGTTTGATTGAAAACCCACTTAGTAACTTTGCAGCCTTACCTGCAGCTTCCATGCTCTTTCTCTCTCAAGAAGGTAAACTGGCAAACGCAGGCCACATGCACGTGCCAAGGAACGAAGATGGAAGTAGTGTCTGGTATAAACCCTTTCAGCAACGTTGAAATTATAATTAATTAGCTCCAAGAATTGCCTTTCCAACTCATTCCTGGGCAAGGAGAAACAACAAAACCAACACAGGACAATGTTAGTTCACTGGGCTATCTTCAAAAACATTATTCTTATGTAAGAAATGTGGTAAAGCCATCATGTGCTCTAGTTTATTAGAATTCATGAAATAACATACACTGGACAGAACCCTATCAAGCAAAGAAATACAAGAAAGCATGCAACGTTCCCAGTTATCTTTGAAAACTTACAAATAACTTGTACTGGAAAAGAAGCATGAATGTAAAAAGTACGATAATAAACTCCACTTTCCCATGTGCTTTCAAACACATATTCACATTTACTATGGAGAAAAATGACATAATCTTAAGGAACATGGTAAAGTCTTCAGCTTTTTCATTTCTGTGAAAACATTAAAGGATTCAATGGAGAAAATCCTTATAAATACAATCATGTGGTAAGGTCTTCAGTTGTTCCACTTCCACATGAAGATAAGAACTCCTTTCTGAAATAAAACCTATGAATGTATAGAATGTAGAAATGCCTTCATTTAGGAGATATTTGCATCAAGACCCATGATAACACACACTGTAGACAGACCTTTTAAGAAGGCACATTGGATGGGAACCCCAGTAGACTATGAAATACAGAAAAGTTTTCAGTTTTAAGAATTTCTTCAAAATTTATGTGAAAACTTTCCCTAGAGGGAAATCCTATTAATGTTCATAACTTGGAAAGCCTGATGCAAATTGATTCTTGTATAATCTTCAAAAATGTACATAAGTAAACGTTATACTACTTATATTTTGTTTCTCAGTGGTTCTTCATTTGAAAGGGTCTCTGTACTTTCACTTCTTTTGCAAGAAAACATTGAGGTTACAATTTTGTAGATACTCTTTAAACAATACTTTATGCATTTAATAGGCAGTTTTTTTTTGTTGTCAGTTAATAAAATTTTTCTCTATTTAAAAATATCACACTGAGCTACTAGAATGACTCCAAATTCTGCTTTGAAACAATTACAGCCTACGCAGGTGGGTTCCTACGCTAATGTCCAAACAGGGCACAGCTGCTTGCAGTCCATTCTGCACTCAGCACCCTAAGTCTGGGATGAGGGAAAAGGTGACAGCCTCCTCTGCTCTTGTGCAGCTGACTTGGGCTCATTCTTCAGGGTTCCATTGCACAACTCACACTTTCCGCTCACTCCCAAGGCACTGCAATAGTGATCAGATGACAGAAATGATGGATGCCATTTATTAGCTGTCACTATTATGGGGCAAGAATACTCCACACTTCAAACAGTAGAAAGATCAGAGAGAGACATCTTGGCTAGACTAAACCCATTTTATGAGATGCCTTCTGGTAGGGTGCTGTCCCTACACACTGTTTCTCCTGAGATGAGTTAGAAATGAAAGCCCAAGGTGCTCAGCATCGGTCATCCCTGGCCAGAACAGACTGTGGGGATGAGTTGAATGCACTGAGAGGGGAAGAGGCTGGAAGCAGCCCTCTGCCACATGATTATTGAGCTGTCCTGGCCAAAGGTTTTGTTTTCGTTTTTTTTTGTGACAGGGTCTTGCTCTGTCACCCAGGCTAACGTGCAGTGGCATGATCCTAGCTCACAGCAGACTCAACTTCCCAGGCTCAAGTAACCCATTGACCTACAGGCTCATGCCACTTAGGTGGGCTATTTTTAAAAATTCTTTTTGTGGAGACAGGGTCTCACCTTTTGCCCAGGCTGGTATTAAACTCCTGTGATCAAATGGATACTCGCACCTTGGCCTCCCAAAAGTGCTGGTATTACAGACATGAGCCACTGTATCCAGCACTCGGTCCAATGTTTAAATAAATACAGAACTAGAGTAATCTTACCACTCCCATAGTAATCCCTGTAAAGACTTAATTGTGTAAAAGCAATACCTCAACAACACATTTGGTTCCTTGGTTTTAAAGTTTTAATGTTTTATCCACTGGCTATGTCAACAAACGCTTGAAGTTCTCCAATATGAAAAGTAGTGAGGATATAAGCAGATATGTGGTTTTCTCATTTGTTATCACTGAAAACCCAGCTGAAACTACTTCCAACATTAATTTCCTATTCATATAACTACAAGGCTATGGGAATGTAAATCAGATATTTGAACAATCAGCTGATCAGAACTTAATTTACTATAGTAATACATGCACATCATCATCTCGTTTTCCCAAAAACATATTTTAACTGTGTAAAATATGGTATTTTATAGAATTATCATGTTTATTAATAGTTATTGAAAAAAACAATTATCCCTACAGGATATGTAGCTTCTTAGTTTTTGTTTTTCAAATGGCTGAATAGCATACCCTTTATTAGCACAGCAAATTTTCCAAATAGGAGTTGCTCAGTTTAACTTACAGGTGTATGTGTGCGTATATATATATAAGTTGTTTATCAATAAGATTTTACATTTTTATTTCAATAGTTTTTGAGGTACTGGTGGTTTGGTTACATGTATAATTTCTTTAGGGGTGACATTGGAGCTTCTGGTTTACCTACCACTTGAGCGTTGTACACTGTACCCAATATGTAATCTTAATCTTTTATCCATCACCCCCTCCCATCCTTCCTCCCCTAGTCCCCAAAGTCTATCCTATCATTCTTACACTTTTGGATCCTCATGGCTTAGCTCCTACCTATAAGTGAGAACATATCGTATTTGTTTTTCCATTCCTGAGTTACTTGACTTAGGATAATGGCCTCCAGCTCCACCCAAGTTGCTGTCAAGGCCATTATTTCATTCTGTGTTATGGCTCAGCAGTATGCCATGGTGTACATATTCCACATTTTCTTTATGCGCCCATTAATTGATGGGCATTCAGGCTGGTTCCACATTTTTACAATTGCAAATTGTGCTGCTATCAACACACATGTGCATGTGTCTTTTTCACAACTTCTTTTCCTTTGGGTAGATACCCAGGGTGAGATTGCTGGATTGAATGGCAGTACTGTTTTCCATAGTGGTTGTACTAGTTTACATTCCCATCAGCAGTATAAGTGTTCCCTTTTCACCAAATCCATATCCACATGTATGATTTTTCGATTTTTTAATTATGGCCATTCTTGCAGGAGTAAGGTGGTATTACATTGCGGTTTTAATTTGTCTTCCCCTAATAATTAGTAATGTTTTTCAATTTCCAAAGATCACAAACATAGCTCCTATTCAGAGCATAATTCCTGATGCTTCTGCATTCATAAATGGCACTATGTAGAACTGATCCTCTTGGGGCTGGCCTCTGTCATCACTGCCTCTGGAGCTCACATCTGTGGAAACCTGCACATTTCCCTGTGTATTCTCTGACCTTGGAACTAGAGCTAGAGCCCCACCAGATTAGCTGCAGGTCTTGAGATCAATTTAACTGCCACTATAGTGGAGCTAAGTGTTCATAATTACAAATTTTGCTTTCTTCAAGAAACCAGTTTACAAGCTGGGTGTGGTGGCTCAAACCTGTAATCTCAGCACTTTGGGAGGCTAAGATGGGTGGATCACCTGAGGTCAGGAGTTTGAGACCAGTGTGACTCATGGAGAAACAACATGGAGAAATTCCTGTAGAGGAAAATTAAATAATAACAATAATAGTCTGTAATTGCTACATAATACTGTTTACTGTGTTGTGTTCAATATAAAACCTAATCCTCAGCTCTGCTTGAAATTAACTCTCTGTAAAATCTACCTCATCTACCCTCCCCACTTTCTCAGAAAAGTTCCCAGGTATCTCAAGACTCCTGTTTTTCTTGCAGACCAGCTGCAAGGTCACAGGTTAAGATAATACCCAAATAATGTGCAATGTGTTTCTCAAAATGCTATTTTCAAATGTAACGTACATCACAAGACATGTCACAAATTAACTCTTCTTTGTTCTGGCTTCTGCAAACCTGTTAGGCACTCAGCCTTGGGATGCGAATCCACTGAGCTGGTGGCCACCTTAATAAAATCCTCCTGTTTTACCCATTGGCCTATCCAGTCTCCTGAATATTATGTAACACCCCATCTCCACTAAAAATAGAAAATTAGCCAGGTGTGGTGGCACATCCCTGTAACACCAGCTATCTGGGAGGCTGAGGCAGGAGAATCACTTGAACCCAGGAGGTGGAGGTTGCGGTGAGCCAAGATCACTCCATTGCACTCGAGCCTAGGCAACAAGAGCAAAACTCCATCTCACATACAAAAAAAACCAACCAACAAACAAAAACAACCGTTTACACATTGATGCCAGTAGTGATTAAGAGCACTTCAGCTTCTGCAACTTTCAAAGTACGGTCATGTTGTTACATCCTTTACAAAAATAGCTACTAGCAATATCACCCTGACAACTTGGTTTACACTATTAGCAAAGTGGTAAGTTAGCAGCCATTTCAACAACAACCATCACTAATCTCTTCTTGGTTACAAGAAGCCACATTTCGGTTGTAAATATACACTCTGTTAATTCTGAATGAAAGTCTTTAAACATTTTTTTGGTACACTGTAGATATATATATTTATGGGGTATAAAATTAATTAATACAGGCCTAGAATGTGTAACAATCACATCAGGGTAAATGGAGAATCCATCACACTGCAAGCATGTATCCTTTTTTAATTATTGTTATTTTACAAATAATTCAATTACACTTTTAGTTACCGTAAAGTGTACAATTAATTTTTGACTGTTGTCACCCTCTTGTGCTATCAAATGCTAGATGTTATTTATTTTTTCTAACCAAATGTGTGCACCTATTAACCATTACCCCTTACTCCTCTCATTCCCTGTACCACTTTTACCAGCTGCTGCTAACAATTCCCATACTTCTGTATCTTCATGAGTTAATTGTTTTAATTTTTAGTTCCCACAAATAAGTGAGAATATGTGAAGCTTGTCTTTCTGTGTCTGGCTTATTTCACTTAACATTTCCATCCATGCTGTTGCAAATAACAGGATCTCATTCTCTTTTATGTCTGAATAGTGCTCCCTTGTGTATATACACCATTTTCTCTAGCCGCTTATCTGTTGATGAACACCTGG